CAGTTGAAGAGGGAACAGTCCATTTCAAACTCTTTTATTCATAAGCTTCCATGGCACACTCCCTGGCCTTGGAAGAAAGTCAAAATGTTTTCTTAAACATTGAAAAGGCATTTCAGCAAATTCTGTGGAAAAGCAGAAGTGCTTTTCAAATATTAAAGCAATCATCATTTTTACATGGTTTGTATGCATCTACAGGTATAGCAAAGATTAAAATACCCCCAACAACCAAGACACAATTTAAAACTTTCCTGGAAACTTCATGGCTCTGTCCTGGAGACTTGAAGTAGGTCCTGGCCAAGACCTGGAATTCACCTATTATTAATATTACATAAACTCTTCAGTGTTCACTAAACAGACCCTGGATTGTACCCAGGCTGTTCCCCATCTGCTGTATCCAGCTCCCATCCCTGCACACAGCATTTTCAAAGACAGAACTAACCCCTGCTGCATTTTGTGGGATGCTGGATTATAAAATTCCACACTGAGTGCTACACTGAGCCTCTCAGGCAAGAGGAGCAGCACATGTCATTGCCAGACCCCAGCTTGGATGTTGGGAGCTCTTCTGCTGCCAGGGCTGGGCATGCGCAGAAGAGCTCAGGGCTATTTTGGGTAAAAATCTGAGCTAGCTCTGGAGGGCTGTTGACCTCAGGGTAAGAAAGGTCTTAACGGTAGAGCTTAGTGAGATCTGTCCGTGCTAAGGACTGCAGGTGCCTTTCTGGGGCTGGCCCTGGCAGGTGCTGCTGCTCACACAGGGGAGCACAGCAGGAAGGATTCCTGTCCTGGCCTCACATCCCAGGCCCAGACAGAGCTGCTCAACCACTTTTCTTCACTGCAAGTGGCATTTTATGGATCTGACAGTGCCACTTCACTGCAGATACAGCCTGAATGTTTCACAGGCCACAAACAATCATTACTTTTATCTAAACTGATGCTAGTGCAGGCCAGCAGTACTATCAAATCAAGTACTATCAAGTACTTATCAAATTCATATCTCTGTGTATACACAAACCCATGGCAGAAGACAAGATGTTTATTTTGCCTTTTAATTCCTTTTTGATCTAGAAGAGTGCCTTCATTTAAGGGGCTTTCCCCCTCAAATTATTTACTTACTTGTAATTAATAATAAAAATAGATTTTTTTAAACTCGCATGACCATTAATTTTCTGGGTTATTTTTGCTATTTTACATTGGAACATAACAGGATTGGTTTCATGACCATATAGATGAGAACAGAGTGATTTATACATTTAGTGTCACATATAGTATCACTTCGTTAAATGATGCTGTTTTATTTTTACACCATCATTTGCAAATGCTAAAAGAGAACCCCCTCTAAGTAAGCCTGTGAGACCTAAAATGTTCTCTTCAGAATGGCTCTTGGTATTTTCAATCAAAATGAAAGAAAAAAAAAAGAGCTTAAAAAATTGTACTCTTCCAGTTACTTAAGATCTCAACTGAAAAATAGGTTTCTGCATTTTTATGAAAAACTACCATTTGGTAATATGCTGAAGTTTTCACAACAATGAAAGTAATATTTTAACTTCTGGTCCAACTTCTGATTCAGCTCCATTTAATTGCAGAGGTCAGTGGTACACAGAGGCCAGTTAGGATAACTACTGAAGTGCTCTCCTTAGGAGTACCTTTGAATATAGATGCTGGAAAAATAATCAGAGCCTTAATCTATGACAAAATATTCTTATCTGTGTTGGTTCACTAAACAAAACAGTGAATTTTGTTGTAGAAAGCACACTAGGAAAATTTGGGGTTGCCATTTTTTCCTTCTTTCGGCACTGCAGCATGTTTAGCACTGCAAGCGCCAAAACATTTCCAGGGAATAAATTCAAGCATCTAATAAAGAACAGTAAATAGTCAAAGTGAAAAAAAATAAAAAGAAATTAAATCTGTTGGTATAACCAGTGGCAAGTACCCAGGAATTTATGGTTTATAATGCACATTCATAATCTTTGTTGATTTTGCAGCAATGATACAGGTGGTTTGGCCAAGTATCTGCTATTATTCAAATAGCTGCAGGAATGAAAACAAAGCCAAGGGGCAAAACATTCAAAAAATTGATTTTCCTAGTAATTGCATTTGTAAGGTTAACTCATGCTGAAGGGAGAATGTAGAAACAGGAGGAGAAAAGTTCTGACTTTGCATGCAGACTGAAAGTCAGACTGGTCCTGATCCTCAGTCAGGGAGAGGGATACAACTCTGAAGCAGGAACACCCTGAACTTCTGTCGAGGACAGGCTTTTATCGCCCCTCTGATCTTACCACCAATGTGTTTCTACCAATAATGGAAGTTTGTTAGTTCTAGTTGCAGGTCAGCTCTAGAAATGCTTCAATGTAAAAAAAAAAAAAAAA